CCCCCCCACGCCGCGTGGCGGGGGATGTACGGGCCCAGAAACCCTAATGGGAAATCCATTCCGCATTTTTATTGCAACTCTAAAAAGGTAAAGGTTTCCCTTGCTCGAAAGCCAGTCGAGTCCGACTCTAGGGTTGCGGTGCTCATCTCCGTTTCAAAGCCGAAGAGCCAGCACTGTCCGAAGATGTTTCCGTGGTCATGTGGCCGGCATGACTAAACACCAAGGCGCACGGAACGCTGTTCCCTTCCCACCGAAGGGGTACCTCTTTATCTACTTGCAATTTCTTGCTTTCGAACTGCTAGGTTGGCAGGAGCTGGGGCCAGAGACGGGAGCTCACTCGATCATGCGGCACACTCGGGTCTCGAACTGCTGAACTACTGACCTTCCAGAGCCTGCAGTTCAGCGTCTTAACCACTTAGCCCCATATTCTCTCTCCAACTCTACTTGTACCCTAATGTTTTCCAATGGAGCCCAGGCAAGTCAACTGACATTCCAGACTCCCATGATTTCCAATGGGCCTTCCAGCATCTCCCATTGTTTCCAATGGGCAATCCTGTCCTTCCTTTTGGTAGATCCCACGTGGTAGAGAGGGGCGCGACCCCCTAGCACGGCTCCCTCTAAGCGCTGGAGTCTTGTGAGCAAACATTCTCCTTGGTGAGCCGCTGGCATTAAAGTGGGGAGCCGGCTATTTGGCCGCTGCATAAATCAGTTTGCTCCAGACTGGCAGTGTTCCCTCTCAGCTGAGTTAGCGTGAGCTAGCTCACCATTTTTTAGCCTCCAGCTCACACAATCCTAAAAGAAATCAACCCGGACTGTTCCCTGGAAGGCCAGATAATGAAACCGAAGCTCAAATACTTTGGCCACCCAATGAGAAGGGAGCTCTCACTGGAGAAGAAGACCCTGATGCTGGGAAAGACTGAAGGTCAAAGAAGACGGGGACGGCAAAGGATGAGATGGTTGGACAGTGTCATCGATGCAACGAACATGAAATTGAGCACACTTCAGAGGATGGTGGAAGACAGGAAGGCCTGGCTGTGCAACTGAACAACAAACACACAGGAAGGAGGGCTCCAGAGCAAACTAATATATGCAGTAGCCAAATGGCTGGCTCACAACTTCAATGCCAGTTGCTCACAAAGTAGAATGTTTGCTCACAAGACTCCACACCTTAGAGGGAACATTGCTCCGGAGCCTTCCTCCCTGAGCGAAGACGAAAATGTGTGAGGCAGAGGCCAAAACGCTGTGACCTAGCTCACACTAACTCAGCTTAGAGGGAACACTGCAGTCCCTAGCTCAGTGATGGCGAACCGAGTGCCCAAACTGTGACCCAAAACCCACTTATTTTTTGCAAAGTGCCCACACGGCAATTTAACCTGAATACGGAGGTTTTACTTTAGAAAAAAACAACTCATACATTAACTTAAGATGATCCAAACAAAGTACGGAAAGCAATCCCAAATGCTTTCGTTTACTTAAAATTATTTGGCAGAGAATTCGACACATTAATGATGGTCTGGGCTTGGCTGGGGCGATGGCACGCCTGCCCACAGAGAGGGCTCTGAGTGCCGCCTCTGGCACCCGTGCCATAGGTTCGCCACCACTGCCCTAGCTAATACTGTGCCCTGGGACAGGCTACAACACTGTGCCCACCTGTACTTTCCTAGTAGTGGTTTGGGTAGAAATATGGTAAATATGTAAATAACAAGAAGAAGGGTAACATAATGTTCATTATAATCCTGAGATCTGCATACACAATCAGTTAATGCGTGACTATTTGACTTATTATTTTAAAATACAAAATTAAACTACATGAGGTACATCCATGATTTACAACAGTAATTTGAACAATGAACAAAATACGTTTTTGTTTTCAAAGCCGACGTATTGCCAGGCAACCAGAAACATAAAAACACAAGCTGCCCAGCACTTGAACTAAATATTTATTTCCTTCATTGTATCCCCCCCCCCCAATTAAACCCAGACAACTGGTGACCATATAAACTTAGCTTGTTATTCCTATTTGGTCCTTGCACCCACATTATAAGAACATAAGAACATAAGAGATGCCAATGTTGGATCAGGCCAAAGGCCCATCCAGTCCAACACTCTGAGTCACACAGTGGCCAGAAATACCAGGTGCCATCAGGAGGTCCAGCAGTGGGGCCAGGACACTAGAAGCCCTCCCACTGTTGCGCCCCCCCCCCCAAGCACCAAGATGACAGAGCATCACTTGCCCCAGAGTCCCTATCTATACCTTGTGCCTAATAGCCACTGATGGACCTCTGCTCCATATGCCTATCTAATTCCCTTTTGAAGCCATCCATGCTTGTAGCCGCCACCATATATGTATGCTGATTTACTACTCACCCTCTACCTAAGTGTGTGGACTGGGAATCTTCATTTCCGTGTACACGAGGAGGGGTGCCTTGCACACACAAGCTGTTCCAGCTGCCTTCGACTGTTCCCAGAACCATTGCCTTTTCCGGTGACATTTGTCTTCTCATCATGTGACCATCGCCTCAGTTTGGTCACTTTAGCTTCTAAGGAGAGTCCAGGCTTGATTTGATCTAGAACCCACTGATTGGTCTTTTTGAGAGGTCCCCTGGACCTGTAAAACTCTCTCCTCTCCTTCCAGTGAATCAGCCCTCTTCCTGCCAGCTTTCTTAATCATCCAACTTTCACACCCATACGTAGTAATGGGCAACGCCAACGGTATGAATTATCTTGAGCTTGGGTATCAGTGTGACACATCCTTACACTTAAGGCTACGGTCACACGCGCCAGTTGAAGCGGAGGGGAAGCTGGGCTATTCCCTCCGGAGGAATTTAACACACAGTCACGGGATCACACCTCCCTTTGTAGCTGCGGACGCAGCCTGTCACTGTGTGATCAGACGCAACTGCGGGCGAGTCTCTCTCTTTTGGGGCCGTTTTGTTTCCCATGCGCATAAATGAGGCATGGCACTTCCGCACTGAGGGCTCCGTATGGAGTATGCGATGAT